GTTTCTTCCGAGTAGTCTATATATTGTATTGTATTATACTATTTTCTACAAATCTGATCCTGTTAATGGGCATTCTGTTATAATAAATTCCAAGCGATAACTATTCCTTGCTAAGCTGACAAAGGTTCCTGTAAAATGTACTAGTTCCATCCGGTTAATACTACCTTATATCCATTCTAGTGTCGATTAGATAACCCAGCTAACATCTGAAGGTGAGCTACCCATGATTCGAAATATCTATTAAGTTATCTCGTATCTGAATGATTATATCATTTGTGGGTGCTGAGCCAACGAGAAAAGCGTTTCCCTAAATCGATATAAAAACTATGATTGGAAAGCCGATTAACTGATACGACAGATAATTTTTATTATTCTGCTTCTTTAGTACAGGACCTCCGATACTGTATATAAGATGTGACATTCTATGGAACGTTCCTTTGTCATATTTTAAAGATGTAGTATTTATTTTTAAATTAAAAGCATGACCATAAAATCGAGCATATTTTGTACTTATCTAGTTTTCTCAGCCTGTTTAGGTCAATCCTATGCACTTTACACAAATATGCCCTTTTTCAGCCAGCTCAATTATATTTGAGTCACTGGGGCGGTATGATGTTGCCCTCATAGGCCACTACATTGCTTCCTGATCATTATGATTTATTTGCATAAATTCTATTACCAAAAAGAGATAATTGTATATATTGTTAAATATGTTGCTTCGACTTACAAAGTCCGTTTTACTTCCTATTTAGGTTGTGGCCCGCGACAAAGATCACACAGCTCGCTTACGCTATGCATTTGGCGACATCACTCTTGGTGAAGGCGAAGGATCACGCTACTTCAGTATCAATGAGACGACAGGCGAGATCACCACTTTGGGCGGACAAATCAATTCGCAAAGCCGGCTGGACAGAGAAGATAAGGATACGATTTTCTTTTCGGTGGTCGCAACTGACGACGGCTGGCGTCTGGATCAAGGGGCCTACAGAGATGGGACTGATGCCATTGGGGCGAGTGGAACGGCAGAGGGTGGAGAAACTGGTGAGCAATT